GCTAGTAAGCCGAAGAGGCGAGAACGCCAAAATCCTCAAAAAAGCAATGAAAATCATCAATTTTGGCTGGTTGGGGGCCTCTTGGGAGGTCTCTTGGACGCATTTTGGGGCGTCTTGGGAGCATCTTGGGCCGTCTTGAGGCCATCTGGGCCGTCTTGGGGCGCTCTTGGCTTCAGGCTGCTGGGCCTGCCACATATTTAGCGTCTCCTTGGAGCGCTCCTGGAGCGCTCCAGAGGCCTCCAGAGCCGCGCCCAGGAAGTCCGGCATCTCTGGCCCCCACCCTCCCGGGGACCTGCCGGGGTACTTTTCGCCCGGGGACTCCTAGGGGCCGCCCCGCGCGCGCGAACTAGAAATACTGTTTACCTGTTACCGGAGATCTTAGCACGCCCTGGCCCGTTGGGCCGGCGAATTGGCCTGGCATAAGTTATTGTCATTTAGTGCTGGCAACCCCAACGGCAAGGAGGGGGTCTGGGGGGGGTAAGGGCATGATGCACGCGTGCGACTCAATGAACATGGCATGGCACTGGGGGATGACAAGAGAGGACCCCAGCCCGACCACCCACCGTGGGCGCAGGGAGGACTCGCGCGTAGGAGCGGAGAGAGCACATTGCTTTGTCTTTCGACGGTGCAGTTGAGGACATAACACCAGGGAGTACGCATGTTACGCAATAATTGCGGTTTCTCCAACGCATTTGCCCCTCTGAAGAGAGGGTTGTTAAATGCCTCAGCTTGGAGAGCTGCTACAGAAGACGGCCAATTATTTATCTTGTGTGCTGTTAATAATACTACCATGAGTATGCGCCGTGCGAACGGGTGGCAACATGCGGCCGCGACACAGGGTCGCACACGGGGTTCACGGTGTGTCCTATACAGATAAACGATGCGTACAACATGTGTGTCAACAGGTGGTTACGCAATGAAAAGGGAGGGGACAGTAAGCAAACCAAGGACGACACCGCCAACCCTACTACTGGGGAAATAGTGGGCCTAGCCATTGATACTTTTCGTGGGCGACATTGCACAGTCACATGTGATACCACAAAACAAGAATCCGTAGGAAGCTGTGACACAATTCCGTCAAATAGCGGAAAGCTTCGAGCGACCTTTGAGTGGAGGAGGATTGGGGCTTAACCGAAGCAAAACGAATGGCCCACGAGTGGTGCGATTATTCGGATGTTAAGCCATCGCCGGGAAGCTCAGACGTACCAAGTAGCTTAGGGGAGTGACCATGAGAGACATGATCGCGCTCGGTCCCTGCCTGCCGGCAGATCAGGGACTTGCCGGAAACATAGTGGGACGGAAGGCAGCACTTGAAATATCATGGGGGCAGGGGGAGCGTTCTCGAGCTCAGAGACACCCGCTACGATCAAGATATCGATGTGCACGGCATTCGTGTTGGGGGCGGTTCGGAGTGGACTCGCAGCCTTCGTGCTACCAGCAAAGCTGATGGATTTCCTTGATGCTGCGGTGGGGAAGTGCATGCGAAAACTTGCTGGGGGACGGGGGGGGGCTGGTGAAAGAAGGACGGACAGTTGCGGTACCACACCGCAATGCAGGATTTCTGAGAGTGTGGACCCGCGCGAAAAGCTATTGCGCTCAGGACTACGGAGACTCAGGTGGTGCAGGAACGAGGCCCTGCGCGCCAGGGAGCACGCGGGGGTTTTGGCAGCAGTGTTCGGCAATTCCAAACTCGACCTCAGAAGGAACGGGATCCGACTTGGGGGAGGAGTGAGTTTGGGGCAGATCGACGCCCTGGGGGCACCCACCAGAGGCTGATCAAGAAGCACTCAACGAAACCTCAGAGGAAAGGCATCACTGGTGCGACAGCAGAAGCTCATAATGGGCCGTCTTCCTGCCCCGCGCGGCCAGCTGGGGCGCGGGGGGGTGCTGGACCTTGTGCTATCTTGAAGTCTGGCGAGATTGAATCAAGGGATGGATGCAGCTTCTCTGGAAGTGGCAGAGACAGTCTCCTTCTTCGAGGTGGCTGGGGCCTGCGAACCGAAGGTTCGAGGACAGTGGCGGCGCGAATGGGGACCCACTATATGTCATCAACCCGCTGCCAAGTGCGAGGGTGGCCATGGGCAACGGGTATTTGGCGGAGGAGCAGCTCGAGCCCGTGGACGACCTTTCCCCGCAGTTCTTCAGGGAAGCCCTGGGAGCGGTGATGGGGGACCTCGGCGCGGAGTTGGGGCGAGGCCCATGACCGACCGCAGGGCTGGGGCGAGCGGTGAAGGGGCAGCTGCAGAAGAACAAGCGAGCCAGGCGACAGTGGCCGCAACGGACACAAGTTGAGTGCGCAGGGACAGACAGGGCGAACCCGGGCCAGAATGACCTCCCATGACGGGAGAGGTAAATGCGGCGAACGAAGTAAACAAGCACCCTCACAGTCTCCAGACACTGAACGAATTAGCAAAGCAGAGCGCAGGAGCAAGCGCAGATCTCTACCAACTAGCGCTCCGATTTCGAGCAGAACGCCGACTACATGCAACCTGCGGGCGCCTGGGGACTGGGGGGGGGAAGTTTTGCGAGTGTACTGCGCCGCCTGCTCCATCTAAAGCGTCGGCGTCCTTGGCATAACCGCCGCCGCCCACCTGCCTCTACTGCGCAGGGCCCCCCCTCTCTCCCCTCTTGTACAGCCGCGGTGAGCGCTTCGTGGGCACTTGGACATGAAGGAATATTGTAGCGAATGCCTACTGGGAGGTCCCCTCCAAATCCTCCTTGAGTTGCGTCGGGAGGTTCCCATTGCGGCAGACGAATTAACTGCCCAATTGCCATTGGCCGAAGCAGGTCTACACCAGGTGGCAAGCAGGAGACCGACCACCGACCCACCTACCAAACTACTTGCAGGTGCGAGGAATGCAGCAGAGTGAGGGGACACTGTGGCTATTTCGGCTGATGCGACAGACAGCGGCTAAGCTGCGTGAGTAGCTTGGCTTCCAACCAGGCGCGGGGGCTGCCGCGTCATGGACAGGGGTGACATGCCAGGAGATGTTGTGGGCGAGGCCACGTGCGTTTTCATGAGGGCGAACGATGCCATCAAAAGCTGCGACGCGGCCACGGCGAAGCAGCTCACCGATGTGGGCTTGGTGACCCGCAACTTCCACAATCAGGGGATTCGCGTCGAGATGAGCTTGGCGAGGTGCAAGGCCGTCGGCGCGCTGGTGGGCCAGTCGGAGGAGATGAGCGCCGGGGGGACAGGATCATCTTGGATAATCAGCAGCGGGGGTTGAGAACGCCATGATGCATCTCGGGTTCTGCAAGGCGCACCTCGCGGAAAAGGCACCCCAGCTGGGACCTCGCGTCCGAGAGGGACTACATCAAACGCCAGATGGATGGGCCCATCCGTGAGTATAAGAAGATGGCCTCCAAGTGGAACATCGCCCCGCAGCCGCAGCAGACGGAAGGAGGCGGCGCGTGCATACTTCCACCAGTGGATTGGGGCGAGCAGATCGGTCTCATGACATTCTTCACGCGTTTTTTTCAAGAGTCAGCGTCTCAATCGGGGGCTCCCCTTCCTGCCTGCGGCTCCAGCCGTCTGGTGATGAGTCGACTCCTTTGAAGTGTGGCGCTCTAAAGCCTAGCCTTCGGGCTTGCTTTGGTGTGGGCGCGTGGGGTGGGGGGGCGTGGGCTCGCGCATCACAAAGAGGGTTGGACCCTAAAACAACACACCGACTACACGAGTACAGGCAATACATGAAAAGACTGGGCAGTTGCAGGACAGTTGCGGCGGCGTCCGGGAACTACACCGAAATGGGGTGCCAAGGCCAGAACAACAGAAACACGGAGAAGGATATCCGATTCTGAGTTCCCACTATCCCAAACATCATGTGATAACGTTTTTTAAACGTGTTTTTACTGCTGAGTGTGGCGCCCCCTCCACCTCCCCATCCGAAACGACTCCCTTCGATTCTCCCTCCCATGCCTTGGCCCTTTGCTGGTTTGCGCGCGTGCGCTTTTGCTCCCCTCTTGGCCCGTCCTGTCTGCCTGTGCCCGCCTCCCCTCCTCCTTCTGCCCCTCGCCTCCACTTATCCTGTGGGCGTTCCTTTTTTCCTTCTGTTCTCTCCCTGTCGTCTTCTTTTCCCCCTTGCTTTTCTGCCTGCGGACGATGGAGTTTGGGGGTCGAAGAGCGAGGAGTGCTCCGTCCTCCGCCGCTCTCGTGCGCGCGCGGTGCTTGCGGCCCGTCGGATTTCGAGGATGTGCCCCCGCCGCGACGTGGAGGAGTGAGGAGGAGGAGGGCGGAAGCCGCATGCCAACCTTGGCCGAGGAGAGGTGGTCGGGGGCAGGTGCCCCCCCTATCACCCCATCCTCCGCAGGGATACATGCCCTTCGCACGGCCCCCCTCTCACCCAGTGGGAAAAGAGAGGGCGCCCCAGGCAAGCCGTGGGTGAGAGGACCCATGCCTTGCTTAAATATTACCACGCAGGGGTACAGATGCCTCCTTTTGCTGTAGCCGCCGCCGCTGCTGATTGGAACCCATCACCTAAGCGCCTTTAGTTTAATATTTTGTTGCTCTCTCTTCTTCTTCTTCCTCCTCCTCCTCCTCCTCCTCTTTCTCCTGATCCCCTGGGGATTGGAGGCTGCTTGCGTGAAGTGGAGCCATCTTGGAACGGTCTGGGCGATGTCAGAAACCGACGTCCGCGTCGGCACGACGGGAGCCGGCCGCACAGGAGCGAGGGCGCAGTCAATCGGGGCGTGTGCCCTTCAGCGGTCGCTGCTGCCCCTCGTCGTCGTCGTCGTCGTCCTCCTCCTCCTCCTGCTCCTCCTCCTCCTCCTGCTCCCCCTCGTCCATCTATTTTCAGCTCCCGTTGCTTTCCTGGACAGTGCAGCCACGGGCTTTTTCGACCGTGCGCTGCCCTGGCAGCTTTTTTTCCTGAGCCTTCCCCTGGCCGGGTAGTGCCGCGTCCATTCCGTCGAAGGCGTGGTCGTGCACGCGCTCGCCCAGTCAGCCCCTCCCTGCTGCTGCTGCTGCTGCTCCTCATCCTTTTTCCTCCTGGCCAGAGGTGATCGAACTGATGGACAGCCTTACCGCCAAGATCACGGCCGAGGGCGAGGCCGAGGCGAAGGCGCCCCGTCCCCCCCCCACCTTCCGCGCGCAGCAGGCGGCCAGGGCGTGGCGGAAGGGTGTATGGAGGCCTTTTCGCGGAGGCCAGAGGAGGGATGAGGGAGGAGGATGATGAGGAGGAGGAGGAGGTGGAGGAGAAGGAGGAATGGGAATTTGATGATGCCGATGCACATGCCGCTGCCGAAACTGACGGCGATGATAATGATGATGATGATGATGATGATGATGATGATGGTGGTGGTGGTGGTGGTGATGAGGATGATGATGATGATGCTGATGATGATGGTGGTGGTGGTGGTTTGTATCCTGGTGATGATGTTGGTTGTGATGATAACGATGATGGTGATGATGATGCTGATGCTTGTGGTGACGACGATGATGGTGATGCTGATGCTGCTGATGATGATGATGGTGGTGGTGGTGGTGATGATAATGGGTGATGGTGATGATGCTGCTGATGATGATGATGCTGATGCTCATGATGCTGCTGATGATGATGGTGGTGGTGATGATGATGACGATGGTGGTGGTGGTGGTGGGTGGTGGTGGTAATGATGATGCTGATGATGATGATGCTGATGCTGATGCTGCTGATGATGACGATGACGACGATGCTGATGATGATGATGATGCTGATGCTGCTGATGATGACGATGACGATGCTGATGATGATGCTGATGATGATGATGATGATGCTGATGATTATGATGATGACGATGATGATGATGATGATGATGATGATGCTGATGATGATGATGATGATGATGCTGATGATTATGATGATGATGATGATGATGATGATGATGATGCTGACGATGATGATGATGCTGATGATTATGATGATGATGATGATGATGATGATGATGATGATGATGACGATGACGATGATGATGATATGATGATGATGATGATGATGATGATGATGATGATGATGATGATGATGATGATGATGATGATGATGATGATGATGATGATGATGATGATGATGATGATGATGATGATGATGAGGAGGAGGAGGTGGATAATACGCGGCACAGCCTTTGGAAGTGTAAGTGGAGCGTGGCGAGAGGTCAGGGCTCTGGGCAGCTCTTGAGCGCTCACGGATCCGTGGTTGCCAGGATGTCGCCGCGGCCTCTGGGAACACGGCGAGTCTTGCGGTGGTGAGGATGGGCGTTCGCAGCCCACCAAGTCTGGTGGGCCCAGCACAGGCCGCAGCTAATGGGAAGCTAGAGGGTAGCCGCAGCGGCCGAGAAGGCTCTCCAGACGCTTCTCGGCCACCGCCTGGTCTGGCTGCTGACCCGGCCATCTGCCAGGCCGCCCATCGGGCGGCTGCCTGCTGGCCACTGGCCCGGCGTTCCAGCTGCCTCTCTTCGGCTGCCCAGGCCCGCGTTCGCCGATCTGTCCCGGGCTCGACGCAATCTCGTGCAGGCGCGCCAGCACGGCGCCTTTCCGCGGAGGCCTACATCGAGTTCACCAGCTGGTGCGACGACGCCGCCCGCAACAAGAAATTCGAGATCAAGACGGCAACGACGCAGAAGGCCGCCAGCCGCCCCTAGGGGGAGAGGTGAGGGGGAAGGCGGAGGAGGAGGACCAGAGTACACCCAAGATGTATCACCGATGCTGCAATACACCTTCCCGTCGCAAGTCCCCTCATGAGTCCCTACACACATTTCTTTTCACTGCGTCAAGCGGCCCCCTTGAAAGAGGAGCGCAACCATTGGCCCTCAGTTCAGCCCAGAGCTCCGTTTTTGAATAAATTGCCCTCTTTGATTCGAGGTATCAGGAATGCAACCAGGTGGGATCATCACTATTAAAAGAGTGGTCAGCTACAGGCCCGCGATGAAAAGGAAGCGACATCCATGCGTGTGACGTCGCTTCTGCTCATAAGATTTAGCGAAGTCTCCTGCCAGAGCCCCTGTGAATACCGATGATGGTGATGAGCACGAGGATGAGGAGTACGAGAAGGATAATGAGGATGATGCTGATGATCACAAGGACGATCATGACCACAACAATGATGATGACTACGACGACGATGATTATGATGATGATGAGGATGATGATAATGATGATGATAACAATGATAACGATAATTTCAATGACACCGCCGATGATGGTGATGGGATGATGATGGTGATGCTGTTTATCTTGATGTTGATATCGATGATAACGATGACGATGGCGATGACGATGCCGACGATGAGGATTCTGCTGCTGCTCAGGATGATGAGGAGTAGGATGAGTTAGAGGATCAGGTGGACTACGGTGACGACGATGGCGAGGATGCTGATGATGATGCTGCTGATGATTCTGGTGCTGAGCTGCTGCTGATGCTGATGCTGATGCTGATGCTGCTGATGATGATGATGCTGACGATGATCATGCTTATGATTATGATGATGATGCTGCTGCTGATCCTCAGGATGATGATGATGCTGATGGTGGTGATGATGATGGTGATGGTGGTGGTGGTTGTGATGACGATGCTGCTGCTACTGATGATGATGATACTGATGCTGCTGCTGATGATGGTGGTGATGGCGACGATGACGATGCTGCTGATGCTGCTGCTGATGATGATGACGATGATGGTGGTGATGATGACGACGATTACGACGATGATGATGATGATGATGATGATGATGATGTTGCTGATGACGGTGATGATGATGATGCTGGTGCCGGTGACGGTGATGATGCTGATTAGGATGATGAGGCCACTGATCATAACGATGATGATGACGATGATGACGACGATTGTGACGATTATTATGAGGCTGATAATTGCCATGCTGCTGCTGATGATGATTCTGACACTGATGATGCTGCTGCTGATGATGATGATGATGATGCCGCTGCTGATGCTGATGCTGATGCTGATGCTGATCATAATGATGACGATGATGCTGATGATGATGATGCTGCTGCTGATGCTGACGATGCTGCTGATGATGATGGTGATGGTGATGGTGGTGCCGATGTTGATGGTGATGATGGTGATGATGATGACGATGACGATGATGATGCTGATGCTGATGATGGTGATGATGACGATGATGCTGATGATTATGATGCTGATGATGATGATGATGATGATGATGATGATGATGATGATGATGATGATGATGATGATGATGCCGACACTGGTGATGAGGAGGAGGAGGAGGAGGAGGACGACCACTAGGATGATGAGGAGGACGAGAGGGACGAAGAGACGGCGCGCTGCGGAGAGAAGTGCCTCTGTCCTGGACTCTGCCACGTACTTTCTGCTCCTAGGCCCCCCCCCCCCTGACAATCCCGTGCTCCATACTTCTCCCACCCCCGTCCATCCTCCCTCTCGTCCTTTGTCTGCGGGGCTGCACCAATTATGCGCGTCATGTAGTGAAGATGCACCCACCAGGGGATACAATCCAAGACGAGGGGGGTGGATATCGAGGGCTTGGGATATACGTGTTGAATGGCACGCGGGCAGGTAAGAGCGAGCAGTCTTAGAGTTCTCGTTGTCGTTGTTCTTGTTGATGGTGATGCTGATGCTTGTGCTGATGGTGATGCTGCTGATGATGACGATGATGATGCGGCTGCTGCTGCTGATGAGGATTGCGGATATGGCTGCTGCTTCTGCTGCTGCTGATGATGATGCTCCTGATGATGATGCTGCTGATGATGGTGATGACGATGATGATGACTGCTGATTATGATGATATGCTGCTGCGAATGAAATGGTGATGCCTCGGTGGCAGATAATGAAGTTTGTGATGTTGGTGATGCTGATGATGATGATGATGACCACGATTCTGATGATGATGACGATGTGGATGATGATGATGATGATGCTGATGGCGATGATTTTGATTATGATGATGGTGATACTGACTATGCTGCTGCGGTTTCTTCTCGTGATGATGGCGATGATGGTGATGATGGCTGCTGCTGCGGATGATGCTGATGAGGCTGCTGCTGTTTTTGTTGATGATGTTGGTGATGATTCTTTTTTTCGGGATGATGCTGATTCGGATGCTGCTGTTCTTCTGATGATGATGACGATAGCCGCGGCCGTTGATTATCATGTTGATGCTGATGAGGATGCTGCTGCTGCTGCTGATGATGATTCTTATGTTTTTCCTTCTGGTGATGATGAGGATGATGCTTTTGATGATGATGATGATGAAGACGACGATGATGGCGATGATGGTAATGATTTTGATCATGATGATGATGATGACTATGCTGCTGCTGTTTCTTCTCGTGATGATGGCGATGATGGCGATGATGGTGCTGCTGCTGATGAGGATGCTGCTGTTGTTGTTGATGACGGTGGTGATGCTTCTGTTTCTTCCCCTGATGACGATGACGATGGCTGCTGCCATTGATTGTGATGGTGATGCTCATGATGCTGCTGCTGCTGATGATGATTCTTCTGTTTCTCCTTCTGATGATGATGGGAATGATGCTGATGATGCTGGTTGATGATGCTGTTGATGATGATGATGCTGATGATGAAGACGACGATGATGATGATGATGATGATGATGATGATGATGATGATGGTGATGATTTTGATGATGATGCTGATGATGATCATGACTGTGCTGCTGTGATGCTTCTCGTGATGATGGCGATGATGGTAATGACGGCTGCTGCTGATGATGAGGATGATGATGTTGATGAGGATGCTGCTGCTGTTGTTGTTGGTGACGGTGAGGTTTCTTCTTCTCCGGATGCTGCCGATTATGATGCTGCTGTTTCTTCTTTTGATGATGATGATGATGACGATGGCTGCTGCCATTGATTATGATGGTGATGCTGATGAGGATGCTGCTGCTGCTGCTGATGATTCTTCGGGTTCTCCTTCTGATGATGATGATGAGGATGATGGCGATGATGATGCTGATGATGATGACGATGATGATGATGCTGATGATGATGATGACGATGTTGATGACGATGACGATGACGATGACGACGATACGATGATGATGATGGTGCTGATGCTGATGCTGATGATGATGCTGCTGCTGCTGCTGCTCTGCTGCTGCTGATGATGATGCTGATGATGATGATGATGGTGGTGATGATGATGATGATGGTGATGGTGATGGTGATGGTGATGACGATGATGATGATGATGATGATGATGATGATGGTGGTGGTGGTGGTGGTGATGATGATGATGATGGTGGAGATGATGATGATGATGATGATGATGATGATGATGATCTTCTCCATTTTGGATGCCTCCAGTGCCCTCATCTTCAAGGGGCCGGGGGCAGCGGGCGCGGCAGGCCGCGCTTCGGCCTCCTGCCGCCCGCTTCTGTTCGCGCCCCTCCCGCCACGCAGGGCAAGCTGGAAGCCGCGATCGCCAAGCATGCCAGCGACATCTCGGGCTCCGACGCCAAGATCGAGGACGGCGGCGACGGAAAGGATGAGGACGAGGAGGAGGAGGATCAGAGGATGATAAGATACCGATACCGCTGCTCGTACCGATAGGAGGAGGATGAGGAGGAGGAGGAGGATCAGGAGGAGGATGCCGATACCCATGCCGATACCAATACCGATACTGATACCGATAGGAGGAGGAGAAGGAGGAGGAGGAAGAGGCGGATATCAATACCGATTCCGATAGGAGGAGGATAAAGATACCGATACCGATAGGAGGAGGATCAGAGGAGGATACTATACACACAGATACACACATACACTCACACACACGCACAAAGACACCCACACAGACACACACACATACACACGCACACACATTCACACACATTCGCACACATTGGCACACATTCACACACATTCACACACATTCACACACATTCACACACATTCACACATTCACACACATTCGCACACATTCACACACATTCACACACATTCACACGCATTCGCACTCATTCGCACGTATTTGCGCACATTCGCATACATTGACAACCAAACGCACCACACACATCACACACACACACACCACACACAACGCACACACACGCGCACACGCTCACACGCACACTCGTGCACACGTGTATACGCGCACACACGCACGCACCACACACGCACACACGCACACAGCCATACACATACACATACACACATACACCCCATCCCCACACACATTCACACATATATAGGCATATTCACACGCATACACACATATACACATTTACATACACACATGCAACTGTAGACATACACACTTACACATCTGCATATACACATATACACTCGCATACACTCGCACACACACACACGCATACACACATACACACACGTACGCATGCACTCATACATACATATACACGTTCACGCATATACACATGCATATACACATACACTGGCACACATACACACGCTCATACACACATACCAATGCACATACACACATTCACACATACACACATAAGCACACATACACTCATACTATCATACGCTCATGCACTCATACACATATATATATATGTATTCACATACACATACAGACATACACACATACACGCACACACATACACCCATATGCGTATACTCACAGACACACATATATATATATATATATATATATATATATTTATATATACACAAACACACAAACACACATACACACGTATACACACATACATACATGCACACACCCACACACATACGCACATACACATATACACATATGCACATACACACCAATATACACATACACACGCACATGCGCGCATATTTATGCTTGGGGCGGGGCGGAATGGGTAGGATGTGAAGGATTTGGCAGTAGCGCGAGGAGCAGAGAGGGGGGGGGCAGGATGAGGAGGAGCAGGACGGGCAGCAGGAGGCGAGGGTGAACAAACATGGGGGCGGAGGGGAGGATCGAGGCAACGCCCCCGCCTCGTCCGGTCGGCCGCCGCGGCCGACGCGCCCTCCGCTCTGCGCCAGCGGGGCCCGCAGAGCTGCCGTTTCCACTACTCGGGCTCGTGTTTCCTGGGTTGGGCTACGGGCGCTCTTTCCAGGGTTGGGGTTTTCTCTTTCCAGGGTTGGGGCATGCGTCCGAACTTTCAGTCCAAATTTTTCAGGGTTGCGACATCGACCGTCCTGTCCTGTCCTGTCCTGTCCTGCCCAGCCCTGTCTGTCTGTCTGTCTGTCTGTCTGTCTTTCTGTCTGCCTGCCTGTCTGTCTGTCTGTCTGCCTGTCTGTCTGTCTGTCTGTCTGTTAGTCTGTCTGTCTGTCTGTCTGTCTGTCTGTCTGTCTGTCTGTCTGTCTGTCTGTCTGTCTGTCTGTCTGTCTGTCTGTCTGTCTGTCTGTCTCTCTCTCTCTCTCTTTCTTTCTCTCTCCCTCTTCCTCTCTGTATATCCGTAAGGGCTTCGCCCCCTGCCGCCGGCCCCCTCTCTCGGAGAATGGGCCATGGAAGAGCTAAGTCATGAGGCCTTGGCGCTGTTGTGAAGCAGTATCGAAACTTCATGCGAAGCCGAACGCAATCAGCAAAACCAACTGATCACAAGAGGGGTTACCACACCTGGCGATTGGTAAGACGTGTATGGTGTACGGGCTTGGTTACCACACCTTGCGATTAAAGGGCCGAGGGAGTTCTCGCAGTTTGGGTTACCACGCCTTGCGATGGATGTGCGTGAAGGGTGGCACAGAATTTCAGAAATGTGCCAAATCCCTTGTGTTTTTGGACCCTGACCCCGCGGATCTGCGTAAGGGGTGGCGCCGAATGTCAGAAAGGTAGCAAATCCCCGTGTTTTTGGACCCTGACGCCGCGGATCTGCGTGAGGGGTGGCACCGAATTTCAGACATGTGGCAAATCCCCTGTGTTTTTGGACCCTGACCCCGCGGATCTGCGTGAGGGGTGGCACCGAATTTCAGACATGTGGCAAATCCCATGTGTTTTTGGACCCTGACCCCGCGGATCTGCGTGAGGGGTGGCACCGAATTTCACAAATCCCCTGTGTTTTTGGACCCTGACCCCGCGGATCTGAGTGAGGGTTGTCGATTTCGAGCCCACCCAGCAATTCAGACAACGCGCCCAGGGGACGCTAAAAATCTCGTTTGGGCCTCCCCCCCCTCGCGCGGTCAATCAACTAGTTACAGGAACCAGCAAGAAGTCAACTAGTTACAGTAACCAGCAAGAAGCAGAACTGTAACACTGGAAACTACAAACTACAACTGGTACAGGAAACTGCGAATCACGCGCCTCGCAGCCTGGTGGCCCCACAAGGGGGCCGGCGGTTATATATATATATATATATATATATATATATATATATATATATATATATATATTATATATTCCTCTTCGAATATTCTTATAGCGGAACCCCCCCCCCCCCCCCGTACATAAATTCGGCCCTGGGCGCTCCCACCGACGTGAAAATCGAATTTCGGCTTCGGGAGCCTCTCCAGGCTATCCCCGGACAGTCCCGCAAAGCCCGAGGACAGCCCACGACCGCTCCAGAACGGCCCATGAGCGCTCAAAAAGATTTCAGGTTGGCTTCAAGACGGCCCAAGACGCTCCCAAAACGCCCCAAGAGGCCCCCAAGGAGACCCCCACAACGCAAAAATCGTCCCATTCCCTTCGGGAAACTTACAAGTTTACCATATTCGCTTCTGTGGCCTTCACTGCGTCCAAGACGGCCCAAGAGGCCCCAAAGATCGCCCCAGGACGACCCAAGATACCCCCAAGAGGACCCCAAGACAGCCCAAAAGGGCTCCAAGACGGCCCAAGAGAGCTCCAAGACAGCCCCAAAAGCCCCAAAAGGCGTCCAAGAGAGCCCCAAGAATGCCCCAAGAGGTGCCCAAGAATGTCCCAAAATGGTCGAATCCCCCCAGGACGGCCCAAGAGGATCCCGGGACAATTCCGGAGAGCCGCCAGACAGCCCAACAGAGTCCCAAAAGGAGCCCCACGAAGGCCCCGACATGCCATATTATTTGATTTCCGCTAACATGCTCCGCACTGTTTCTGTCTCCAACGCCGCCACCCCGGGGGACCTCGGGACAACCCCGGAGAGCCGCCAGACAGCCCAAAAGAGCCCCATAAGGAGCCCCACGAAGGCCCCGACATGCCACATTCATTGCTTTCCGCTACCATGCTCCGCATGATTTTTTCGTCCAACGCCGCCACCCAGGGGGACATCTACGTCGCCGATGTTTTGGCTTCGGTCCAGGAGCCGACACTTTCTCCGATCGCACGCTGCCCCGTACATAGGCTCCTGCCCTCTGCCCCCTCAGAGCCCTTCCAGCTTGAAGACTCTATGAGCCATACAAGCCATAAGCCCCAAGAGCCATATGAGCTCAATGAGCTCTACGGCCACTCGTCCTCGTCTTCATTGTCGCCGTCGTCGTCTTCGTCGCCGCCGTTGTCGTCCCCCATGAGATCTACAGGCCTATCAACCCCTTCAGCCTTATGAGCCCTACGAGCCCTATGACACTCAAGACCCCATATGAGCCCCAACATCCCTATGACCCCCGGGACCCCTGCAACCTCTCTTTTCCCTACGAGGCCTACGAGGCCTGCAGTGCCCTATGTGTTCTGCGAGCCCTATGAGTCCTGCGAGCCCTAATGCCTACAAGCCTCGTGAACCCTACCAGCCCTACGACCTCAATTACCCTATGACCCCTACCAGCCATATGAACCCTGTCGACCTCATGAGCCCTACGACCCCTGTGGCGGCTCATGCCCCTGCGACCCCCATCCGCCCTATGAGATCTACGAGCCCCGCGGTGCCCTATATCCCCTCCGAGCTCCATGAGCCCTCCATTGCCCTGTACGCCATACGAGCCCTACGACCCCAATTACCCCTACAGCCCCTACCAACCATATGAGCCCTCTCAGCCCTGAGAACCCGAGCACCTACAAGCCCCACGAACCCCGTCAGCCCCACGAGACCCACGGGCCCACAAGCCCCACGAGCCCTGCGAGCATACGAGCCCTACGAGCCTCACGGGCATACGAGCTCACGAGCCCTACAAGCCTACAAGCCGACGAGCCTTACGGGCCTACGGGCCCTACGAGCCCTACGGACCTACGGGCTCTACGAGCTCTACAGGCCCACGAACTCACGAGCCCTACGGGCCTACGGGCCCTGCGAGCCCTACGAGCCCCACAAGCCCTACGAGCGTACAAGCCCCACAAGCCCTACGAGCCCTACGGGCCTACGAGCCCAGAGAGCCCACGAGCCCTGGGCGCCCTACAAACCCATCATCCCGGTGAGCGCTGCGAGCCCGACGAGTCATCCGAGCTCAAAGGCCGCGCGAACCGCGCGAGCCCCGCGAGGCCGAAGAGCCCCACGAGGTCACGAGCCCTACGAGCCCTACGCTCCCCATGCGCCCCAGTAGCCCATGACCCCTACACGCCCTTAGGCGTCCGACCCCTATTCCCCAACCAACCCAGCGAGTCCCACAAGCCCATTGACCCCTGGAACCCCGTAGGCCCCACGCGCATGGCGAAACCAGTGAGCCCCATGACCCCTCTGAACCACACAAACTACGCGCACCGTGAGCCCTGTGTGCCCACGAACACTTGCGCCCCACCCACGCCCCACGAGTCGATCGCGAGCCCTCCGACCTCATGGGCCCTGTGAGCCCCATGAGCCCTACGAGCCCTACGGGCCCCACGAGCTCACGCTCCATGAGCCCCATGACGTCCGTGAGCCGCGGCCACCGAGCAACCACTATGACCCTTCAAGCCCCGCGAGCCCCACGAGCCCCCATGAGGCCCACGACACATAGCAGGCCAAACAAGCCCCACAGTTGGTCGCAGCGAGCTTTCCAGGCGCCATGCGACCAAGATTTTAAAGGCGAAGCGAAGCGAGCCGGTAAAATCTTGTATATATATGTATACATCTGTATATTTGATATACATATATGTATATTGTCTTGTGTTGGACACTATGCATGTTCTGTGCTCATCCGTGATTTGCCAGTACCCGCCGCGGAAGTTGTTTGCTGCAACTCCCTTCCCGACTCGAACCTCTGCCAGGAGCTCGGCGCAAGCATCGCAAAGGACTCCGCCGACCTGAAGGATGCCACCGTCGGTGGCCTCGGTGGCCCATCGTGCGGGAAACGGAGGGCGAGGGAGAAGGCGGGAGATGCTCCCCTGACGTCACGTTTTTTCTTTCAAAACGTCGATCCCCACAGGTCTCGACTCATATCTTGGGATCCGTTTTTCAAACCGGTCCGTTTTTTCCCAACCCTCCTTGGTTGGGTATCGCTTTAAATAGAGGGGTGTGGTCGCGTCCTCCTCCCGCCCCCCCCTGTGGTCGCCGTCCCTGGGGGGCTGCAATCTGCGAAATTGTCGCCACTTTCGAGGGCTGCTGGTGGGTCCTGCGGGGTGAGGCACCGCGCGGATCCGCGCAAGACCTCGCCGTGCCTGGGGGGCTGCAATCTGGGAAGCTGTCGCCACTTTCGAGGGCTGCTGGTGGGTCCTGCGGAGTGTGGCACCGCGCGGATCTGAGCAAGATCTCGCCGTGCTTGGGGGGCTGCGATCTGCGAAACTGTCGCCACTTTCGAGGGCTGCTGGTGGGTCCTGCGGAGTGAGGCACCGCGCGGATCTGAGCAAGACCTCGCCGTGCCTGGGGGGCTGCGATCTGCGAAATTGTCGCCACTTTCGAGGGCTGCTGGTGGGTCCTGCGGAGTGAGACACCGCGCGGATCTGAGCAAGACCTCGTCGTGCCTGGGGGGCTGCTGTCTGCGAAACTGTCGCCACTTTCGAGGGCTGCTGGTGGGCCCTGCGGAGTGAGGCACCGCGCGGATCTGAGCACGACCTCGCCGTGCTTGGGGGGGCTGCGATCTGCGAAACTGTCGCCGCTCTCGAGGGCTGCTTGGAGGGGGCAGCATAGCGATCTGCGGAACTGTCGCCACTTTCGAAGGCTGCTGGCGGGTCCAGCGGAGTGAGGCACCGCGCGGATCTGAGCAAGACCTCGCCGTGCCTGGTGGGCTGCGATCTGCGAAATTGTCGCCGCTTTCGAGGGCTGCTGGTGGGTCCTGCGGAGTGAGGCACCCCGCAGATCTGAGCGGGACCTTGCCGTCCCTGAGGGGCTGCGATCTGCGAACTTGTCGCCACTTTCAAGGGCTGCTGGTGGGTCCTGCGGGGTGAGGCACCGCGCGGATCTGAGCGGGACCTCGCCGTACCCGGGGCGCTGCGATCTGCGGATTTGTCCATATTTTCGAGGGCTGCTGGTGGGTCCAGCGGAGTGAGGCACCGCGCAGATCTGAGCGGGGTCTCGCCGCCATTGGGGGGCTGCGATCTGCGAAACCGTCGCCACTTTCGAAGACTGGTGGCGGGTTCAGCGGAGCGAGGCACCAGGCAGATCTGAGCGAGGCATCGCAATTCGTGGGGGGCTGCGAGCCTCACGAATGCCGCTCGCAGAAGTATATGCGCCCATGTCACGTCATCACCTCAGTATAACGTCTCCCAATCTACTCAATGCCCCGCATTGCGCAGGGGTTGGGTACGTCGCCAGGGTAATTTTACGTTTCCGAAGCCAGGCGATGACCCCAGAACCCGAAAGAAGCGAAACATTTCCAGTATCTTTTTTTGTGTTGTGTGGTTTCCTCTCTCTCTCTCTGTTCTCTCTCCCTCCTCATTTGTTGCTTTTAAACGAAGAGGAGGAGGAGGAGGTGGAGGAGGAGGAGGAGGAGGAGGTGGAGGAGGATGAGGAGGAGGAGGAGGAGTAAGACGAGGACGAGGAGGAGGAGGAGGAGGAGGAGGCGGAGGAGGAGGAGGAGGAGGAGGAGAGGAGGAGGAGGAGGGAGGAGAGGAGGAGGAGGAGGAGGAGGAGGATCCGTAGCCATTTTGGCTCAAGGTTAAACGTTGTGAAGGGCTATAGACGCCCGAGAACCAGCGATTAGCCTTGGCTTTCCGTGGCCACTCTCGAGGCCGTCAGGAGGCCGAGGTTTTTCTTCGTACCCACGGCGAGCTGCCCGAGCCGCCGTGAATTGAGAGCGAGGTCCCTTCGTGCTGAGACGCGGCCATGGCGCCGGCGTGGACGTGCGGGACCTGTGGCTTCCACAACTTCGGGCACCGTGGCACTTGCAAGCAGGCAGGATGCAATGGACGGAACCCTCATGGCCCCATCCCGAAGGTCCAGTTCACCTGGGGAAATCCGTGGTGGGGCATGGGCGGGTTCGGCGGCGGCGGCAAAGGGGGTAAAGGCGGCGGAGCCTTCATCCCTGGAGGCGGCGGCGGCAAGGAGAACATTTTCAGAGGGAAAGGAGGTGGGGGTGGTGGAGGTGCGGGGGGAGGAGGCAAGGCGTCTCCCCCTCCAAAGCGTGAACTCACGGCCGAGGAGAAGTCGTTGTGGCTCAATCTCTCGGAGGAGCAGTTCGCGCTTGCTTCGCAATCCATCCCACGACACCAGAGGGATTCACTCATGCACCAGCGCGCGCTCCAGAACTATGGCCTCTCGGGGGCCAAGGCGGAGGCCGCGCAGATCAACACGCTCATTGGGAAGTACAGTCAGCAGATGGTGCACCTCAAGCAGAAGGTTGCGCGCATGCAGTCGAAGGCCGAGGAGGCGGTCAAGGCCGCCATCGGGGCGCAGGAGGAGCTGGACACCGTCCAGAAGCAGCTCGAGGACGCGAAGGCCCGCGGGCTCTCGCTGGGCGCGCAGGGGGGTGCGGGCGAGGGGCGGGCGGCGCCGCCAGTGTCTCTCGCCCAGCCCTTGCAGCAGGCGCTCGACGCCTTCGTCGGAGCCATCCCAGAGGGGGAGGCGGGCGAGGGCTTGCGCAAGGCCTTCGACACGATGCGCGAGACGCTGGAGGCGGCGGTGGCAGCGGCGGAGACGAAAGTGCCCGCCGCCGCGGCAGCCGCCACAGCCGCAGGCGGCACAGCCCCAGGCGGCCCAGGGCCCGCTGGCGGTGGCCAGCCGAGGGCGAAGCGAGAAAGGCGTGGTGAAGTGGAGAATGCCGCCAGTGCTGAGAGTCGCCGTGCAGCTCGTGACGATGCTGCTCGCGGCCGAGGCAGTGGAGGGCACGCAACGGACATCGAGATTGACGAGGACCAGCTGGACGAGCACATGGAGGGAGTCGACAACGCCCTCGCCCGAGTGGGAGATGGACTACGTTCGGAGTTCCATGGCGATGAACGGGCGCAGCAGTGTGTCTCTTCCGTGCTGGACAAAGTCAAAGAGCAGATGGAGAAGGAGAGAGGGGAGGCTGGCAAGAGGGGCAACCGCAGCAGGTCACCGACTCGCTCGTGCGGCTCCTGACGGCCTGAGTTGGGATTTTGTTTCAGCCAACGTCACAAGCTGGCCACGGTGCCAGTCTTTTTTAGAGGCCGAATGCCAGTCAAAGGTTTGTTTCCTTCAAGAGACGAAGGTCAAGGTAGGCGACACCGCTCAGGCGTCGAACACCTTGGCCAAGGTAGGATGGAGTGTTCGTTTTGGGACCTGTGATGTGACCCAGTCTGAGGGTTTATCAGCAGGGGTAGGTTTGGCCGTCCGCAAGGGGGTAGGCATGGGCAGCAATCCCTTGGAGCCGCGACCCCATTCCAGGGCCGTCGTGGCTTGGGTCGGCGGTTGTGTCGCGGGAGGTTTCCACGCTGCCAGTGTCTACCTCCCGAGCGGGGACGGAGTAGGTGCCGAGGGCCGTCGCATTCTTTTCCAGGTTGGGGAGTTTCTGTTCTCCATGGGAAAGCCGTTTGTCATCGGTGGCGACTTCAACGCTCTGGAATCTGAGGTGAAAGGCACAGGTTTACTAGAGAAAATCGACGGGGTCATAATTCCGACTGGCAAGCCTACATGCAGAGTGGGCAAGGATTGGCGTGAGATCGACTTCTTCATTGTGTCGGCGAGCTTAGTGCCCTGCGTTTGGCGCTGCGATCGATTGGAAGGGTCTGAGTTGTCCACCCATTACCCCATCAGAATGTCGATCAGGACTAGTACTCATCTGGGTCAGATCAGATGTTTGTGGACACCCAAGAGGTTCCCTGATCTTCCGATCGGCCCAGCGCCAGCCCCACCTGGGTGGTGGGAAGGCATTCAGATTCAGGTTGAGCAGCTGATCCGTGAACCAGCAGTCACGCAAGCTCAGGTCTCGCAGGCTTACGCATCATTTTGTCAGGCAGCTGAGCTAGAGCTCGCGGACACGTACCAGTTGGAGCTGTCGGGCTCCAAGGGGAACTTTTTCGGCAGAGGCGACAGGTTTAAGTACGTGTATAAGCCAGCCATCGTCAAGGTTGGCGGGCCACATCCACTCGGGTCGCCAGTGTCTAGAGCGATGCGGAAGTTCCACACACGCCTTGAAGAGTTGGGGCACCTCAAGCGTAAGGGATACGACGACGAGGACATGCAGGTATGTGAAATCAACCGTAAGCTTCAGAAGGCTCCCGAGGTTCTCTGGCACTCTTCTGGCTGGCGGTGCTGGCGTGCATGTCATTTTAGTTTCAGAGGATACGAGGCGGACTCTATCAGGGACGCCTTGTCCGATTTGAGCAAGCTGATCCAGTCTGAGGAGGCGTCTTGGGTCAGGATGCGCCAAAAGAAGTGGAGATCTTGGGCTTCAGAGGCAGTGTCAAATGGGGGGAGTATGGTTCACAGGTGGGTGAAGGTCCCGAATGAATGGATCCCAGATGAGCCAGGCCCTGACGGAACCCCAGGAGGAGCGATGGACCAGATTGAAGCCCTCGAAAGTGAATGGAAGGGTATTTGGAGGTATGGTGACTTGAAGGAGCCAGAGGCCGAGTTTCTGGAGTCGTTACCCATGGATGACCCTCCGGAGCCACCAGAGCCCCAGGAGTTACGCCGAGTTCTTGGAAAGTTTAAGAGGCGCACGGCAGTTGGAGCTTGCAGGTGGCCGCCTGCACTTTTGAAGTCACTGAGTGACGAAGGCCTTCGTGTATTTGGTCTCCTGCTGCACATGTGGGAGAAGTTCGTTTGCCTTCCTGAGCAGTTCGCGCTGCTCATCCTCCCTTTTCTCCAGAAACCAGAAGGTGGGCGGCGACCTATTGGTATTTTGCCCACACCAGTGCGCGTTCTGGGGAGATTGCGTCATAGGGAGGCGGAGAGTTGGGAGGAGGCAAACCACAAGGAG